GTGCATCTGAGTTCTCTTCGCTCTTCATCTGAGTCTTAGAATGTTTTAAGTCTCACCATCTTGCTACACCACCCAACCCCGCTAGTTTCCTGATCCAAACTCATCTGTCTGTCCACATGGCTCTGACCTACCCTGACCTTGCAGTCTACATTTGCTCTTATTACCCTAACAGTACAGGAGCCCTGGTGGCACAGTAGTTAAGTGCTTGGCTACTACTGAAAAAATGAATGGTTTGAAGCCACCAGCCACTTGGGGAGAGAAAGATGTGGCCATCTACTTCCTGCTTCCATAAAGATTTTAAAAGCAAAAAAAAAAAAACCACACTGCCATCAAGTCGATTCAACTCCATAAAGATTTAATCCATAATCTATAAAGATTACAGGCTTGGAAACCCTATGGAGCAATTCTGCTCTCTCCTTTAGGGTCACTATGAGTCAGAATCAACTCAATGGCAGTGGGTTTGGGTTACCCTACCAGCAGAGCCCTGATGGTGCAACAGTTAAGTGCTCAGCTGCTAACCAAAAAGTTGGCAGTTCAGACTCACCCAGTGGCTCCAGGGGAGAAAGAACTGGTGATCTGCTTTAGTAAAGATTACCCTTCAGACAAGAAAACCCTATGAAGCATTTCTCCTCTATCACCTGGAGTTTCTATGAGTCAAAATCCACTTAACAGCACCTTCCCACTGCCACAGCCATTAAGTTGATTCTGACTCATAGCGACCCTCAATGGGTTTCTGAGGCTGTGAATCTTCATGGAAGTAGATGACTGTTAATTTTTTATGGAAGTAGATCGCTTCATCTTCCTCCCTTGGAGTAGCTGGTGGCTTTGAACCGCCAACCTTCTGGTTAGCATCCAAATGCCTTAACCACTATGCCAAGAGAGCTCATTTGACAGCACTTAAAAAAAAAGAAAGAAAGAAAACAAAAGCCTACCTGTGTTCTTAGTTTAACTCTTAATTCTTGGCTCCCACTTTCTCTTAAAAATTTAGCTAAATCCACTTTGAAAAGCCAAGGCTGATGAGACTGCTTGGGAAGAATTTGGAGAATCTGCAGCTCTGTTCCTTCCTCATTCTTGAACCTGGGATAGCAGCTGAGGGCACTTGTGGATACAAAGAAGTGTGTGTGTCTGTGTGTGTGGCCATCATGGACCTATCATTCTCCCTGGGAATGCTAACATGTATATTTTTTAAAAAATATCCTGGGTATATTCTTTCTTTTGTTTGTTTTCCTGTTTCTCTTAGAAACTTTTCTACAATTTTAAACCCAAAGGCACCCTTCCAGCTTTCTTACATGAACCGTATTTTGACCTCTTAAGAAGCTATGGCAAGGCTTAGTCTCATTCATGTTGATTTTATATACAGAGACTTTTGAGTCCCTATTAGATTGCATTCCATACCAGTGTGCAGCTTATGGGCTCACTCCTGTTGTCATGCAACATACGGAGCACTATTAGATAGCAGGAGTTTGGGTCTTGTCAGGGAGGCTGATTAAGCCACAGTCAGGGGCAGCAGTCCTAAGTGTGAAATATAACAGGCCTTCTGAAACAGCTAGTGCTGTGATTTGCTGGGGTGGTTGGTGTTTTTCTGTTGGGGTAGGGGATGGGATGGGGAGACACAGAGAGCTTGCTCAAAAAGCAAACACTTTTTTTTCTATCATGGGCTAAGGCTATGGTGCTAACATTTGGCAAGTTGAGTAATGGGGAGCTAGATAACTGTGAACAGATGGGCAACTATTTAAAGATTTGAGGGGCTTTCATCATTTCTCAAATGGCCTTCACCCACCTACAGGATATCCAGTTCCCTTGCAAGAAGATTACGTAAAGGATTCAATTAGATTTTTTTCTTCATTTTTTTTTCCCCAATTGCAATGGAAGCAAAAGCTCTGACGTTAAGAGGGAAAGAATAGATGAGAAACTTCTAATTTTGAGTCCTCTTGGGATTAGATTCTGATTTGAGCTGTGTAGAGAACACTGCCCCATATTTTGAAAGAGTTGCTGCTGGCATTTTCGGAGATGATGACTTTTCAAAATAGACAGTGAGCTCTGCCATCCATATCTGATTACCATCTGACATTTGGATGCAGAATTACAGAGCTATACACATGCTTGATAAGGATAGCCTTGTTTTTAAAAATACCAGTTGTACACTGTCATTATATTTCAGCTAAAAGGTAATGGAATGCAAAATATAAAAGAAAAGTGGATTACCTGGCTCCTGTTGTTGTTGTTATGTGCCGTCGAGTCGGCCCCGACTCATAGCGACCCCTCCTTGGGTTTCCGAGGCAGTATCACTATGGAAGTAGGATTGCCCAACCTTCCTTCCGAGGAGTGGCTGGTGGGTTTGAACTGCCAGCCGTCTGGTTAGCAGGCAAGTGTCGTAGCCACTATGCTACCAGAGCTCCTAGCAGAAGTATAAACTATTTACACATTGTAGTTGATTTTGTTTGTTGTTAGCTGCTGTCAGGTTCCCCCTCAACTCATAGGGATCTCGCACACAAGAGGATCAGGCTGTTGTGGTCCATTGGTTTTTCACTTTTTAATATCCTGTGTATATACCAAAATATATTCAGATTTTCCAAAGTAGATTGAAGGGCCTTTCTTCTTAGTACTTCTCAGTCTGGAAGCTCCATTGAAACCTATTCAACATCATGACAACAGACTAGCCTCCACTGACAGACAGGTGATAGGTAGATGCCCAGGAGATGCATTGGCTGGGAATTGAACCTGGGTCTCCCCCATCGAAGGTGAGAATTAGCACTTCTCAGTCTGGAAGCTCCATTGAAACTTATTCAACATCATACTGAACCACCAGTGCCTTTTTTTTTTTTTTTTTTTTTTTAATTTGATTTTATTTTTGGTGAGAATATACACAGTAAAACCTGTTTCCATTCCACAGTTTCTAGATATAATGATCAGTGACATTGGTTACATTCTTCACATTGTATCAACTTTCTCTTTATTTCTGTTCTAGTCGTTTTACTTCCATTGACTTAATCTCCCTGCCCCACAACTGTCTCATCTGTGCTTTAAAATAGCTGTTGACTCTTTGGTCTTATATAGATATTAAAAAAAAAAAAAAAAAAAGCGCAATACTTAAGGATGATCATCTTTACTCTTTGGGCTAAACTGTTACTTAGTTACTACTTACTGTTACTGTTACTACTTCAGGGGGTAGTTCCAGTTCATGTTTGGAAGAGCAACTCAGGGCCATAGTCTCGAGGTTCCTCCAGTTTCATAAGTCTGGATTCTTTAAGACTTTGGAGTTCTGTTACACATCTTTCTCCCTCTTTATCAAGATTCATCTATTGTGCTCCTGATCAGAACATTTACTAGTAGTTAGCAGGGCACCATCTAATTCTTCTGTTCTCAAAGTGGAGGATGCAGTGGTTCACGTAGACCTGTAGTCCAGATTCTTTTCTGATTCTTGGACTTCCATCTCTCTCTTGTGTTCCAGACGGATAAAGACCAATAGATATATCTAAGATGGACATTCATAAGCTTTTAAAACCCTAGACACTACTACCATACTAGGAAGTAGAACATAAATTTTAAACCTATGTTATGCCAATTGACTGCTTTGTCCCATGAGATCATGGCCATAAGCCCTCAAACCAAGGGAAATAATCCCATCAGGTGATTAGATATGTGTAATTAATATCCATATCTGCAGCTCCCACCCCCACCCTTTTTTGTTATTGTTGTTTTTACTGTTGCAAAATACAAACAGAATGCTCCTTACAAGTAATGATGGTGAATGATCAATCAGGGGAGAACAGAAGGGCAGTATTTGCACAGGGAAATGGTAAAGGAGGTAGGAATGCAGGAAGGAGGGATACAGGGAAGAGGTAACTACAAGGAGGAAGTGGGAAGGAGCTATTACATTGTGGGGATTGCAGTCAATGCCGTGAAACAAAATGTGTATGAACTGCTGTCTGGAAAATGAATTTGCTCTGTAAACTTTCACCCAAATCACAATAAAAAAGTTTCTTGCTTTTTTTTTAAGGGAAGTATGGATGGTGAGATTATAACCCACTTCCTTTGGGCGCGAGAAAGACCAGTCACTAGAGAATGACATCATGTTTGGAAAAGTAGAAGGCTAGAGAAAATGAGGGAGACCCTTACTGAGGTGAATTGACACAATACCCACAACAATGGACTAAAACATAACAATAATCATGAACATGGCACAGGACCAGGCAACATTTTATTTTGTTTTACTTAAGACCACTGTAGATTGGAGCCAACTGGATGGCAAGTAACAACAGCAACAATACACATGGATTGTATCATGTAACAAGGAAGTAGATCCTTGTTAGTATAAAGAGAATGAAGATTTGTGTGTTATGAATTACCAAGCCAGTTGCCTTCAAGTGGATTGCAAATCATAGCAACCCCATGGGTGCAGAATAGAATAGCTCCTTAGGGTTTTTAAGGTTGTGACTTTTTAGAAGAAGATCACCAGGCTTTTTTTCTGAGGATCCTCTGGGTGAAGTCAAACCACTGACCTTTAGGTTAGTGGCCAAGTGCTGAACCATATGCAACACCCAAGGACTCTTGTCCTGTATTACTTATTGGGCATGTAAAGATAACTGAAGTGAATAGAAAATAAGCTCAATACTTATGTAAAACCTGAGAAAATTGGAACCTGCTTAAGGCAGAAACCAGTCAGGAGAGAAAAACTAAATATTTTCCATTCATAGAGAGTGGTAGAAAAGTAGTTAAGTTTGTACCCTGTCAAAGCCAAAAACTTGTAAAATCTGGAAAAACAAGTCAGTCCTGACAAATTCCGGCTCTCACAGGCTTCACTCCATATTCTGCTATTTTTTCCTGTTCCAAGTGTTATGTTCTTCTGAACTTCCCCTATGTTTATGATGTTTTGAAGTATTCTTTAGGCAACTAAAGCAATTCTGAGTAATTTTTCTCCCTTCTTGTTGTTAAGTTAAATGGAATCAGTTTGCGAACTCTCCCTGATGTTCACGAGGCCTCCATTTGTGTTTTTCTAGAATGGCAGAAATGCAAGGACTGATGGAAAGGCTGGAGCAGGCAGTCGTCAGGCTGGAGTTGCTGTCTGCAGAGTCACACAGGCCTCCTGGGGACTGCGGAGAAGTGAATGGCGTCAATGGAGGTAGGACCACAAACTGTTGTTATTATTGATTTCTCTGTGGGTCACTTAACTTGTTCACATCATTTATTTCTCAAAGTAAGAAAGATTCCTATGTTCTTCATTCATCTTTCTTACTCTTTCCTTTATGTATGAATAGAACATTAACCAGATGTGAGCGATTGTTGAAAAAGAGAAAGGAAAAGTTACAACCCACAATCCACTAAAATTACCAATATCTGTGCCTTGTGCTAAATGTCATTATTCTTTCATTTTAGTGTTTATACTGCTTTTCCTTGTCAATGGCTAAATATATCATCTAAGTAATTGTCAGAAAGAGATGAACATTCTCAATTAGAATACAAATTGGAAAGAGTTATCATTCTGTAGATTTTAATTTCAAAGTGCACAAGTCATTAAATTTAGGACTTTGACTTTAAAGGAAACTAGTCTGGTCCTCAGAAGGAAGACTGGGAAATCTACTTCCATAGAGATACTGCCTCGGAAACCCAAGGTGAGGTCGCTATGAGTTGGAACCAACTCGACGGCAGTGAGTTTGGGTTTTTTTTTTTTTTTTTTTTTGAGTCTGGTGCAAAGCCAAATATGACTTTGATGAGACATTATCACATCACATTCTTTTACCTTTGGTTAAATAGTCTTTTAAAATTATATGGTCAAAAATAAAAATCCAGTCCTTTTTAAAAGATGTACCATATATAATAAGTTAAATTATTTACAATAATTCTTCCAAGTCCTTCTTGTCTAGGGTTGCAGATTTACCAAATAAAAATACATGACACCCAGTTAAATTTTAATTTCCGGTAAATAGCATTTTTTTTTTTTTTTGCATAAATATTCCCCAGATACTGCATGAGCCATGCTACGTGGAACATACTTATACTAAAGAGTCATCCATTATTTATCTAAAATTCAAAATTAACTAGGTATTCTCTAATCTGGCAACTCTATTCTTGTCACACATGCCTTTCCTGCTTATCTGACCCACTTTGAATCCTGTCAGACTTCTTGAGGCTGAAAAAAGCCTTGAAGAAGAAGGGACTTCATGAAAGAAAAAAAAAAAAAAAAAGTTTGCCAGACAAGATCTACATTGTTGCTTCTGGAATTTCAGGCTTACTTGGAGCTGTGCCTTGTGTTACACACCCTGAGACAAAAATTACTATGTGAACACAAATGCATGGGCTAGGTTTTTTTTTTGTTTTGTTTTGTTTTTCTCTCTCTCTCCTTGAGCACAATAAACATGAAAATGCTTTGAATGAATTGAAAGAGGTGTTATTTAAACGAAGGCTGCAGGGACCTGTAAGTTTTTCCATATCGGCTAAGACACATCTGTGATTTCATCTTAAGCATCTTTTGTTAATCATAAGTTGTAATATAAGATTCAGTAAACCTTATTCATAAGAAAATATTTTCATATCCTTCTCAGTAACTTTTTTTTTTATTATGCCGTGTGCTTCAGGTGATTACAAGATATTTCTCTAAGATTGCTGATCACAGACGAAAAGATTGTGAAAACAGTTAAAATCCAATTCTCAGGAGATTCTATAAACCAAAACCAAAACCAAACTCACAGCCATCGAGTCGATTCCGACTGACAGTGACCGCCTTTGGGTTTCCGAGGCGGTAAATCTTTACATAAGTTGATTACTCGGTCTTCCTTCCACAGAGTGGCTGATGGGTTTGAACTGCCAGCCTTCTGGTTAGCAGTCAAGTGCCTTAGCCACTACACTAAAGAATTTTCTGGAAAAATCAATAAACCAAAAAAAATCCACCCAAACTTAGTTGAGTTGATTTCAACTCATAGCGATCCACATTGGGTTTCTGAGGTTGTAAATCTTTAGGGAAGTAGGTCGCCCCATCTTCCTTCTGGGAAGCAGCTGGTAGGTTTGAATCGCTAACCTTCTAGTTAGCAGCGAGATGCCTCATCCCCTACACCACCAGAGCTCCAATAGACTAAACAAAATTGAAGAGCATGTAATTAAATTTCTTAAGCATTTAAGCAAATATTTTCTAATATAGCAAATCATTCCACACCAGTTTAAAAAAAAAAAAAATGTGCTTTAGGTGAAAGTTTGCATAGCAAATTAGTTTTCCAATCAATAGTTCGTACATAAATTGTTCTGCTTGACATTGGTTTGCAATCCCCACAATGTGTCAGCACTCTCCCCATCTCCTCTCTACAGCCCCATTTCCATTTGTCCAGTTTCCCTGTCCCTCTCTATCTTCTCATCTTTGGTTTTGAGCAAATATTGCCTTCTTGGTCTTGTTCTGAGGAGCACATTCTTCACGTTGTTTGTTTTCTAGTCCCATGTATTATTTGGATGGAATGTGGCCTCTGAGAGTATCTTGACTTTCGAGTTAGAAGGTTTTCTCAGGGCAGTAGTCTCAGGGGTTCCTCTAGTCTCTTTCCAACCAGTAAGTTTGGTCTTTTTTTTTTTTCAGGGGGTTAGGGGGAGAGTAGGGAGACTTTGAAATTTGTTCTACTTTTTTTTTTTTATGCATTCTAATAGGGACTTCTATTACAGTCTTGGTCAAAGTGGTTGGTAGTGGTAGTCAGGTACCATCTGGTTCTTCCAGTCTCAGGTTAGAGGAGGCTGTGGTTCATGTGGGCCCTGAGTCCTTTGGATTAATTACTTCCTTGAGTCTTTACTTGACTTCATTCTCCTATGCTCCAGGCAGGAAGAGACTAATAATAGTTGCTTCTTAGATGGCTGCTCACAAGCTCATAGGACCGCAAATGCTACTCACCAGCCCAGGATATAGAACGTTATCTTTATGAACTGTGTGTTGCCAGTTGACCTAGATGTCCCCTAAGGCTATGGTCCTTAGCCTTCAGTCCCACTGTCTGTATCTATGCCCCTTATGTGTTCTATTATATATATGTATACATGCAGCATTTGCAAATATGTATATAGAAATATCCACCATCATACCTATATATATATGCAGGTGTACTCCCATATTCTGTACAACCTCCTTCACTTATTTAGCATGCGTATTTACCTGTGTATCTACTCACAAGTTATTGTAAGTTATCATTGCTGTTGTAGGACTGTATATGTTGCAGCATTTACCGTAGTTGTCTTTTATTCTTGTGTAGCTCTCAGTGTCTTCCTTTGCCTTGGTCACATTGTGCTGATTCCCACCACATTGTGTGTTGCTTTTTCCTTCACCAGAATTAACTCTTATCTACTCTTCAGTTAACACTTCTCCCTCCCTCCTCCTCCCCTGTCTGGTAACCATGAAAGAATGTTTATTTCTATGTGTCCAAACCAGTTTCTTAGGGTAAGGTTTTCTAAAGCAACTTAGCCATCAATTTTTTGTCCATCTTGAAATGAAGTAGGATATCTAGTAAGTGGGATAATTTGTAAATTTCTGAATAATATTCATCCTTCAAACATTTTACTAATCAAAAAAAAAAATAGAGATAGATAGATGGATGGATAGCTGCCATTGAGTAGATTCTGACTCATAGCAACTTTATGTCCAGCAGAATGAAACATTGCCCAGTCCTATATCATCCTCACAATTGCGGGCATGTTCAAGTCTATTGTTGTAGCTGTTGTGCCAATCCATCTCCCAAGGGGTTCCCTCACCCTCACTGGGCCTTTTCTTCATCAGATATGATGCCCTCCTCCAGCAATTGAGCCCTCCTGGTGATGTGTTCCAAACAAGCAAGTCATGGAATATTCTGCTGTGATCCATAAGACTTTCACTGGCTAATTTTTAGATGTCGATCACCAGCCCTTTCTTCCAACCATGTCTTAGTCTGGAAACTCCTGAAACCTGTCCCCATGGGTGACCCTGATGGTATTTGTCATACTGTCATATTTGTCATTCTAGCATCATCGCAACATGTAAGTCACCACAGTACAACAAACTGACAGAGGGATGGTGGCCCAAACAACATGTTGTTGTTGTTGTTGTTGTTTGCCATCAAGTCAGACCCGACTCATAGTGACCCCTTCTTGAGTTTCTGAGGCAGTAACACTACGGGAGTATATTCTTAATAAGATTTGATAATTTTCTAAATTCTGTTCTTATCAAATCTTTAAGGACAACCTCTTACCTTAAATATAATTATGATGATGATACTCCAATTAACAGCTAAACAATTTTTATTTAAAAAAGAGCCTTCTAAAAGAAACACAATCAATTGCAAATATAATCTGCACAGATCAAAGAACTATCTAGTTATGAGTCTTGTATGATGATGTGTTTTCTTTTTCCCTGGCAATCAAGTAAGTTCAGCTCAACAGTTGAAGAAATATTTTTGCATGCCTGCCAAGTGGCAAGCACCCTACTAGCTGCAAGGCAGTCTAAAATGAATTATGCACAGCTCTGACCCTCGAGAATCTTTTGGTCTATTGAGTGCTGCAAGTGCTTTGATTGAAATGCTCAAAGGATACAGTCTGGGGAGAAAGATAGGTCATTAAAGGCTGCCCGGAGGAGGTGTGAGAAGAACTGAATGATGAAAGGAAATTGGAAAATATTCCCTTTTATCATTGTACCTTCTGCTGTGTAGAGGCTTCCATAATATCTCTAAAACCTTCCCCCTTTTAAATACTCATTAGAGACTTCTCCCATGGCAACAAACAGATGTACATGTTTCCAAATAGATCCAAGTAAGGAATCTTTAGGCATGTGCCCATTTTATGTTCTATAAGGTGGTACATACTATGTTTTGAAGTTTAAGGTAACTCAGCTCTAATGGCCTGCTTAGAAGTTATACTATAGGTATTAATTGACTCATATGGTAACCCTATGTGTAGAACTGTGCTCCACAGACTTTTCAATGGTAGTGTAGTGCCTAAGGCATTTGACTGCTAACCAGAAAGCTGGTGGTTCAAACCCACCAGCCACTCCTCGGAAAGAAGGTTGGGCAATTTACTTCCATAGTGGTACCGCCTCAGAAACCCAAGGAAGGGTTGCTATGAGTCGGATCCAACTCAACAGCACTGAGTTTGGTTTGTTTTTTTTCTTTTTTTGGTTGGTGATCTTTTGCAAGTAAATCTCCAGGCCTTTCCAAAAAAAAAAAGAAGGTGGGGACCAGGTTTGCTGGTCCAATGGAGCCTGGTGTAACCACTGAGACTATGGCCCCTAGCTGCCCTTCAAGTCTGGAATTGAACCCACAACTGTGGTTTCCAGCCAAACAAAGTACAGGCAAGTGAGTTAAACATTTACCTCAAGTAGACACACGCCCTGGAGAGAACAATCATGGGAGAAGGAAGGGCTGCTTATGCACAGGGAGATAGCTCAGGGTGCAGAAGAGTATGAAGGGATGGACACTGGGAGGGGGTAACTATGGGGAGGAAGTGGGAGGGGAGCTGCTGCATTGTAAATTTTGGTCAATGACATGAGACAAAGTATATGTGAACTGCTGTATGAAAAGTGAATTTACTCTGTAAATCTTCACCGAAATCCTAATAAAAAAAAAAAAAATCTCCAGGCCTTTCTTCTGACGTGCCTCTGGGTGGATTTGAACCACCAACATTTTGTTTAGTAGCTGAGCACTTAACCGTTAATGCCACCCAGATACAGACAGTTGTAAATACCTGTTTCCATCAGTCTTTGGGCCTGTGGAAGTGGGCAGTTGAAAAAAAGAGAAAAGGAAGACAGCTTTATCCAATAAGTACATGAATGTGGATATTTCTATACAGTATGACAAAAGGAATTCTAGGTTTTGTCTTGGGTTTTAATGGCCAGTTTTGCAGAGTTTCTCAAAATTGTGCACATGAAGTCAGTGACTTAGCATATTTTCTTACTAACTAAAAGTCAGGGCAGGAAATGCAGAGCACAGTCAGGGCACACCAGGTTGGACTGTTGTCATTTCAGCTTTACAATAATTTGCCAGTTGATCAAAACCCAACATGGATGAGTTCAGTGATCATTTTCATATCTATCATCACCACATCTCCTCCCCCTGGGAAGTGAAGAAGAAGAAGCAAAATGTGTGAAATCAGCTTTATTTTCCTACTTGCCCAGGATTTATTATTACCTTTTAATTGTCCTACTATTGATGTATTTGAAAGGTTATTGTAACACCTGGACCGGTCAGTGTAGAAGAAATTACCTCCGCTTTGAATTTAGCAAGACTCAGTTGGGAGGCACAAATGGTTTACACTGGGCTACCTACCTAAAGGTTGGTGGTTCAGATCTCTCCAGGGATGCTGCAGAAGAAAGGCCAGGTGATCTGCTTCTCTAGATGGGGCTGTTCTACTCTATCACATAGAGTTGGTTTGAAATTGACTCAGTGCCCTTTTTTATTTTTTTCTTTCTTTTTCTTAATGAATTCCATTTTGGATCCACTTTTTATTTGGAATATAGTTTTTGTCAAGTCACTTGCTCTGTTTACATCTCCATTTCCTCTTCTGTGAAATTGTGATGGTACTACTAACCTCACTGGGTTTAGGGGACAATTTAAATGAAATAATATAGGTGAAAGTCTTTATTCAAGAGGATGAAAGACAGGAAAGTATTGTTTTCTTAAGCCATAGAGAAGTGTTTTAAAAAGTATTGGTTGAGTGAATGAATGTACTTACTTGAATAGACTGAAGATGATATTACTGATACTAAACTTGGGTATTGCTTATGACAAAGCAGTGCCCACTTTTCACTGAACTTCCAGAGAATAACAATAGATTCCTCTTCCAAAGGTGTGGCACCCTCCATAGAAGCCTTCGATAAGCTGATGAACAGTATGGTGGCTGAGTTTCTAAAGAACAGTAGGATCCTTGCTGGTGATGTAGAGACTCATGTGAGTACTTCCTTCCCCTGTTCTCTGTGCAGAGTTTCCAATGATCACCCCAGCCACTGCCAACTCAAATGGCAAGATGAGATCTTTCTACAGTTTTCTACTCTAGCTAGGTACCAGTTGCCAAGGATTCCATTCTGACTCATGGCCGCCCTGTTTGTGTCAGACTAGAACTGTGCTTCATAGAATTTTCAATTTCTTTGGAAATAGATTGCAAGGCCTTTCTCTGGGGTGGACTCAAACCTCCGACTTTTATTTCACAACTGTATGTGTTAAACATTTGTATTACCCAGGGACTCTCTAGCTACGTAGGTGGTAGCTAAAACATTCATTAATATTCATTTGTTCATCTAATCATTCATGCAACACTGATTGAGCCTGTACACAGTGCTGTTTCAGAAGCTGGGAATAGAGGTAGGGATGAATAAAACAGGCCAAGCTCTTGCCTTCATGGAATTTGCATTTTAATCTGGAAAAAAGAGACAATGTATATAATAGTATGGGCTAGTTCGTGTGTTTAGTGTTAAGGACAATAAAGAAAAATAAAGCTGGTAATTTAGAAAATTCTGGAAGCAGGGAGTTATTGGTGATGTTAGCTGACATTGAGTCTGCCCCCAACTCATGGCAACCCCACTCACAGTGGAACAATCAGTCTGCTGCCTGGTGCTGTGCCACCATATGATCAGTTGCAGATAAGACCATTGTGATCCACAGGGTTTTCGTGGACTGATTATCAGATGTAGTTTGCCAGGCCTTTCTTCCCAGTCTATCTTAGTTTGGAAGGAAGCTCTACTGAAACCTGTTCAACATCATAGCAATATATAAGCTTCCACTGACAGATGGGTGGTGAGTGTACATGATGAGCTCTGGGAATGAAACCTAGTTTCCTGCATGGAAGGTGAGAATTCTACTACTAACCCACCAATACCCTGGCTAGAGAGTTAGAGATAAGGATGGTCTCTCTGGGGAGGTGATAGTTGAGCAGAAGTAACTGAAGTGAAAGAATGAGCCAGGCCATGATGTGAGGAAGAGGATTGCAGGCAGAGGAACCTGCAAGGGCAAAGGCCCAGAGGAGGGTATATATGTGGCATGTTCTAAAGAGACCAGGCCAGTGAGATGGTGGATGAGGTCGAGACAGACAGCAAAGAGCCAGATGACGTGAGGCCTTCTTGGTCACAGTTAGGAACTTGGTTTTGGTTCTTAATCTGAATGTGAGGCAAAATCACATCAGGGCACTGGGCAAAGACTGGCAGGGAATTTGATTTACGTTTTTAAAAAGCTAAGCCAAGTCAGTCACTATCATCCTTCTCCTTTCCACAAAGTGCAACCTGAAGAAAAGGCAAGTCACAAAGTTTGGAAATTCTGGGTTGGAAGAGACCTTAAAAGGTATCTAGGCTGACACCAGATTTTTTAGACACTGTATTCTTTTAAAAAATTACTTTTTTTAACATCATCTCTGAGGCTAGTCACTATTTGAATGCATTAATAAAAATCTAATATAATAAACAAGCCAATTAAAAACTTTTTAAAAAATCTGTCATGCAGTTCTTCATTTTCATTTGCCTTTGTTTTTGGCAGAGGATTGAATTCCTAATCTTTCTGCCTATAGATTTCTTACCAAAGAGATAATCCAGCTTTATTACAGATGCACAGAAAATGTGATTCTGGAATAAAGTTGTGGTTTGAGGTTAAAAAAAAAATAGAGAAGTAAAAGGGGATTCTCTCTTTACTCCTTCCCAATTAAACAATATATGCAACACCCAACATCAGTCCTCCTGGGGATCTGGTGACTCAGGGTATACCAGAAGCTTCAAGATGGTTATTAGACAGCTGCTTAGCATTGAATTTGCAATGTATTTATTTGCCACATCTAAAGCAAAATTCTTTTCATGACTTCCATTTTTATTAAATAGTCCTCTTGAAATGTGCATTGGTATAAGAGCATAAGTGTTAATATACACAAGTTCCAGAATAGTCTGTATAATCAGACATTTTACTTCAGATGTATCCCAGAGGTATATAATTACTGTAGTCTGTTCTTTTCCTCAGTGTTCTTGTTGACAAGAAACTTTGTGCACAGTAAAATAGTGGCTGAGTTTCTCATATTGTGAGGCATGTTAATGCCTGAAAGCTAGCATATGAAAAAGAGTATTATCCCCAATGCACTAAAAGAGATTCTTAAGTGATGGAACACTAATACAATAATGATTTATTATTGTTGTTGGTATTAACATTGACATTATGCTTCTGAGGTACACAGTGGATTATAATAATTGTTATTAGTAATTTCTCACAGATTTCTAGATAAAGGTGGTATAGTGCCTAAGGCATTTGACTGCTAACCAGAAGGCTGGTGGTTCAAACCCACCACTCTATGGAAAGAAGACTAGGCAATCTACTTCCATAAAGATTTAGTGCCTTGGAAATCCAATGGGGGTCACTATGAGTCGGAATTGACTTGATGGCAATGGGTTTGGTTTTTGAGTATACATAAATATATTTAACTTTGCATGTGAAAAAATTAGGATTTGCCTGCTAAGTAAGTCTATTCAAATTGTATGGAGAACAGTCCCTTTAAATCCTTTTTAGAACAAAGTGAATTATAAATAAAGTGTAGCTTGATTTACATCAAATGTTTTCTTCACTGCACTCAGTAGTCTAAGAACAGAATGACTCAAATGAAGCAATACTGTCAAAAATGAATATGTAATGGTTAACAAAATTTGTGTTTCTGACTAATTCATTAAAAAAAAAGTTTAAAGGATGGCAGAAGAGAGAGAAGGAAGAGAAAGAAAAAAAAAAAAGAGAGAAAACATTGTCATCTGTAAGTTTAGACTGGTTCTTTAGCACAAAGAAAAGTGCAGGCGGCTGTGGTCCATGACTTTAACAGTTTGAACAAGTAATTTATTTTTTTCTCTCTTATAGAACCATGTGTCATTGGCATTAAGCTTGCAGCTGCCGCCTCTCACATGAGCCAGAAGTGGGGGTTGAACTTTGTTCCAAGAACACACCTGTTGCGTAGAAAAAAAAAAAAACAACCCTCACATACCTGATTGTACAGTATGGAAATTTGAGAATGACACAAATGTGCATCATGTTAAATCCTGTCCCTGTGCTCAAAAGCTATTTCACAGATACTAATAATGAACAAGGGCAGCCAAGTTCTGATTTAACGTCTGTCTCGGTGTGTTGGCTGCTGGTTGAGTTTAATTTACTGAACACTCAATAGTCTATTGATGAAACAGACCACAAAAAAAAGGGAGCTAATAGCTACAATTAGGAAGCTCTGCTGAGCCGAAGAACATAACAGGTTTAGAAAAGATTAGATCTTGTAAAGCCTTCTCGTATGCTATATATACCAAAGGGCTTATTTAAATTACTTTTCAACCCAGGAACATTGGCACAGCTTTTATTTGTTTTTAAGAAATAATCAACAATACATAATTTTATAACAGATATTTAGGGTAAATATATTTCTCAAGGTCAAAAGAAAGGAGCATCTAGAAACTATATCTTCATAAAACCAAACCCTAGGCTGGGCACCATTGATCCTTAAATGACTAATGTGATTTCTTTTTTTTTTTTTTTTTTTAACCAAGCTGTCCTGTTGTTGTCATGTTATAAGACACTAATCTCAGGTCTATTTCTCCAATGATATAAAAATTATGAAACAACTACCAACTATATAGCTCTTCCTAACTCAAATTGTTTTTGAAGCTGTGTAAGAGTTACATTTTAAATATTTCTAAAAGTCTGGGATATTTAGTTCCTGTTATTGATTAAAAGGGATGAGAAAATGATTTTATTAATTATTCAATAAAAATGAGACAAATGCAGTTTTGAATGAAAAAAAAAGGCAATGAAATCCAACCAAGAAGTTGAACACATCATAGGTTTCAACAACATGCTGCCCAGTGTGATGTCTTTGAACCCTCTGACTTGATAAAAGATGATCATTTTTATTGTGCTTGGGGTGCTCATTTACAAAGCAGATTTACATTCAACAGTTCCTGCACATTTGATTTCACACCGATTATCCTACCCAACCATAAAAATCTCTCCTACCCTTTCCTCCCTGTGACTATCCCCTCCCCTCCCTGTGCCCTTCTTATCTATGCATTCCTGTCTGTCCAGCTTTCCCTCTATGTGAATGCTGCCAGTCTGGTGTCTCGTGGCTGATTGATCTAAGGGGTGCATCTTCTAGAGTAGGTGGGTGCACCTCCCTGGGGTAGGTGTTCTGCATGTAGATCTTTCTACTGTTGGGCTGAGAGCCAATCCATGGAAGTGAGTCCAATTCTAGGCCTGAAGGATAATCTTGGACCATAGTCTCTCAGGGGTTCCACCAGTCACTTTCCACCAGTAATTCTGGTCATTTTTGTGTTTTTGAATTTTGTTCCACATTTCTCTTCCCACTCCAGGATCTCCAGTTTTGATCCCTTTCTGAGTGGTTGGCATTGTTAGCTGGGTGCCATCTAGTTCTTCTGGTCTCAGTGAGATCCTCATGGTCCATCTTATCTTTGGACTAATCGTTTCCAGATGACTTTGATTTTCTTCACTCTTCTTTGATTCAGATCAAACCAAATCAAACTCACTGCTGTCAAGTTGGATCAGACTCACAGCGACCCCTCCTACGGTTTCTGATGTGGTATCACTATGGAAGTAGATTGCCCAATCTTCCTTTCAAGGAGTGGCTCGTGGGTTTGAACCACCAGCCTTCTGGTTAGCAGTCAAATGCCTTAGGCACTATGCCATCAGAGCTCCTTTGGTTCAGATGAGAGGAGATCAAATAGTTGCATCTTAGATGGCTGCTTGAAAGCTTTTAAGACCCCAGTTGCTATTCACCAAAGTAGGATGTAGAACAAGATTTTTATGTACTATATTGTGCCAATTGAGTATGATGTCCCTTGAGACTATGGTCTCAAGCTTGCAGGCCCGATGATTCTCTCTCTCAAGGTGTTTGGTTGTCTCTGAGAAGCTGCTCCAACCCCGTCTTCTGTTATTTC